GATGTGGGCGTGGTTATTGTCCGATTTTAAAAATTTTCGGCCATTTGGTTGCTGTACCAGGACCAACAACTGTGCCAAGTTTGGAAGAAATTGGTGCAGCGGTTACCAAGATATACACATGTAACCATAAGTGGGCGTGGCTACGCCCATTTTCCAAAAATCTTATAATATTCTTATTTTTCGTCTAAAACTCGTTGTAAATATCAATTTTGAGTGATTTATCTTTAATAGTTACTAAAATATCGCAGTTTTCGTATTTCTGAAAATTACCGTTATATGGGAGGTAGGCGTGGTTATTGTCCGATTTAGCCCATTTTCAATACCATCCGTCCTACGCCCAAAAGAAGTCCACGTACCAAGTTTCGTTAAGATATCTCAATTTTTACTCGAGTTATCGTGTGCACAGACGGACGGACGGACAGACGGACAGACGGACGGACAGACAGACATGGCTTAATCGATTTCTCTTTTCATTCTGATCATTTATGTATACATTTGTCTATATCTATCTCGATTCGTTTTGCCTGTTACAAACAACCGTTATTGTGCACAAGTGCGCTCGGGTATAAAAATTTCAAGGTACAAAAGTGTTATGTGTCACATAATTTTTTGCAATCATTTCATGAACACGAAGAAGATATAGAGCCACTAAAAATTATATCAAACTGATGTGATCAAGCTGAGTCGATTTAACCTTGTCCGCCTGTTCGACAGTTTGGACGCAAATTAGTTAGGCAAAAAACATTGCCAATTATATCTCGCCTTTGCGAGGTTGTACCAGTCTGATCTGATGTTACTACCGTTGGATTAGCTCGCAATATACCAGCGCTAGCATTTCGTTGCCAAGAAATTCATACCCAAAACCGTAAAGGCCAATTCACACAATTGGTACATTTGGCGTTCTCAGAGTGGTGTTCTCAAGAATTCACGAATTCACCACAATAAAACAGAATTCCTAACAACATCACTCTGTAACTGTCAAAATGTACAAATGTCCAAAATGTAGAAATGGCCAGGCAGCAATTTTCGAAGTTTTTTGTGGTCGCGGCTGCATAATGAAAGTAAATACCTAGCTAGCAGAAATACGGTGTGATCTGGTACCCTTAGGGCGGGTTGTTCAATGTCCATTTACTTTCTGATGACATGCCGGTTATGAGGGGAGAGCGATATCATTTTGGAATATATGTTTGCCTCTTGACTCTTTTGCTTCCTGAGTGTAAGGCCTAGTGTAGCGAAACAAGTTTCGGTGTCTACTTTGGTCGTGTCACACAACTAAAGGAAACTACGAACGGCTGATAATTTTATTCCACAGGTCGAAGGATTGTCATTGCTTTCGAGAGGGGATCGATTTAGAAAAAAAACTTGTTTCGATGTTTCTTGCAACAGGAATCTAACCTGGGTTCTGCCCAGTCGTAATACACACCTCATACTACTCGTCAGTAGAGACCGTTATGTTTTTCTTTTTGATGTGCAAACATCTTAGCTCTGAGTATTGGTAAATTTTGCGTTAACCCAGTAGAACATTTGTAACCTCTTCTTTTGTAGCCCAGCAGAAAATCTGTAATTGCTTCTTACGTGTACAAATGACCATTAATGGAATTGTAAAGGACTATTTCAGGCCCAGTTGAGGACTACTAGAGGCCAATTTCGGGACCAGTTTGGAATATTTTCGGCACCATTTCGGGATGTGTTCAATACTATTACAGGAACATTTCCGTGCTAGTTCGAGATATCTTCGGGATCATTTTGAGGTTGGTTTAGGACCAATTCGGGACTAGCTCATCATCATTTTGACATTCAGAAGGATCGCGGCGAAAATCTAAATTCGCCAGTAACACCACCTTGTATAAATTCGCCTTGGTTTCCATCAGTGCATTGCATTAAGGAATACATCACATGCATATATTACTTGATCCAGGTGAAATTTATAATCAGCAACCGAGAGTAAATCATTTGATTTTAAAAGTTAGTGGCTAAAGTAGAAGTTCACAGCCATAATTTTCCTTCTCCCTAGCAATTTTTGCACATCTTTACAAGTAACAAATCTATTTCCAGAGAAAACTTAACAATTTTAAATTCAAAACATTTTATTTCTACATCAATACTTATTTGTTTTTTTTTTTTATTCTTTGCAGTGCGAAGCAACCGAGTTTCCCCAAAGGATACTCGCAAATGCTCACCTGAATTAAAAGCACGTCCCACGGCGAAAGCGACAGCACGAGAACAACAAACGCAAAGAAATCAGCAGGAGCAACAACAACCACAACAACAACAACTACAACAAATTAAAGCCAAAGAAATGCAACAGCAAGATAAAAAGAAGAAGGTCAAAACTGCTGCTGGTAGCCAAAAGAATGTGACGAATGGAAAAGTTGCTGCAAAGGAATGCACAGCAACAGCAACAGCAGCGATAGGCGAAGAAGTACAACAAGTAAACAGCGCGACTGACAATAGCATGTAGGATTACAAAGCCTTTTTTGTAACCGCGCAAAACTCAAAGTAGCGAACAATCGAACGACACAGGGAACGGGCCAAGCAACGATGGGCAGATGTAAACGCCTTGGTGGTCAGCTGTTAGACTAACTTTATTAGACAAATTCTTCTCCTTAAGTAATTTCCAACTAATACATAACTACCGATAGATATCTCAATACATTCGTAACTTCTAATATTTGCTAATACATAATTTATGTACATATGTACTTTAGTACTTCATAGAGGTGGATGATCTTAACACTACTCGTAATATACATATATGTACATACATCAGAGCCAAACACAAAAGGAATAGAAAAAATGGGAATGCAGCATTGCTGCAGGCATGCTTATGTTAAGTTCAATATATGCATATGATTAACTATATCAGCGAAAGCTTACGAACAAACATACATATGTATGTACGTATAATTGTAAGAGCGAAGCATAGCGGGAGTATATTCAAATCAACAATATGAGTATAGCGGGTGAGCATATGTATGTACATAGGTGTGTATAAGAAAATGCAAACACAAATTTTAACTGCAATGGGTTGAATGACATACGCATACCTGACCTTGGCTATATTTTAGGTATATAATAAAATAGATAACAAGACATAACTATCATATGATTGACGAATGCAGTGGTTCCCTATCGGTGACCCAACAGGCACTTTTTCTGAGTCTACACTTTTTTGTATTTATGTATATTTACATATTTGCAACTGGATCGGTAATATGGCCAATACGTGCATATACATATCAGGGATGTTACGAATATTTGCATTCCCATTCGTTATGCGAATGATTCGCATCATTTTACACATTCGCATTCGATATTCGCATTCGCATTCGACATTCGCATTCGCATCAAATAACACGAATGTTTTGCGTATGCGAATGTGTAAATGGGCGGAGAGTCTACTCTAATATTGTTGAAATGGCTCTAAAAATGGCAAAATAAAATAGCGAAATAGGCAGGATAAGGCACTAGAAAAAGCAAAAAATGTAAGAGAAGGCACTAAACATAGGCAAAAACTGAAAATAACACTGGTTTACAAGAAAAATATTCAACGGACGCCGCTATCCAATTCCTATATAGAAGTGCTTTATTCTATGGATAAGTTTTCAAGCTGTACATGGCGTATGATTAAATTTTTTTTCGTGCTAATTTTTCATACAAAAAATCTTTGCACATTTTTATATGACCACTTATTACTTGTTTATTTATGCATCGATTTTCTTTATTATCAACTTAATTTTTTTTTGTAATAGAACAGGCCTTAACACAGACTTCAATGTACTAAACGTGCGCTCAACGTGAGTTGATACAAGTGGCGCCCAACTTAAATACGGAACTTTTGAAATTTTTATATTATCAGGAATAAGAGCTGTTTTCCTTGCCTTTTACAATTTAAGGTATAAAAGTCAAACAAAGGCAAACATCTTAAAAAGGCAACACAAAGTTAGTGTAATTGGAATTAGGGAAAGCTAAATCGTGGACATCCTTAATCGAATATGCTCTATCTCTTTAGCAGAAAAACTGCAATTTCCATAAAATCAGTTCCGTGCTTATAAGTTACCTAGCCATAAATTTAGACATTGGAGACATTAAAAAGTGTGAAATTAAATCTAAATTGAAGGCCTATCTTTTTCAATGTTATTCCTAACATTCGCATTCGCATTCGTATTCCGAAAATTCGCATTCGCGAATGTGAAAAATATAGCATTCGAAACATCTCTAATACAAATGTATGTGCATACATACATAGTTTGTTTATACTTGCGCTAGTGTCTAGTTTCTGTGACAGCCAATGCAGCACTCAAAGTATACTGAGTGACATTTGACGTGTTGACGCTAGCCAACTCTTCAGACTGCATTAAGTTATTTTTTATTTTTTGCTTTTGTTTACTTTTTTAATATTTATGTATGTAGTTTGATTAGGTTTTCTTTGCTTTTATGTGCCACTGTACGTATTCCAGTACAAATTCAAGTTCCTAATGGTATGTATCTAAGAGTTAGTGATATTTCTTTTATTATTTTATAATATCTTACAGCCAGTTTCACGGTTTAAATTAAAAAATACTAACAAAAAATCAAAAAGAATATGGTTGAATTTTTGAACTCTGGCATTGAAAGACCTATTTTTTTTGATAAATACTTGTTGATTTTTATGTTATAAACGGAGAAAGACATCTCTTTAGTTGTATTGATAGCCGGACATAGCTCCGCTGTGTAGTTGGGTCCGAAAGTGGTGACGATCTGAACATAATCGCCTTCAACAGAAGAACTTATTTGAAATGGAGCTTGCTTTTTTCCACGATTAACGAAAAATTACACAACGTCGAAACCAGTTTTTTTCCAAACCATGTTTGCCATTGGGTGTCGGAAAAACATTTCGCAATACTTAAAAAAAGAGAAATGTCCACTGCTGTAATCACTATCCCAGCGTCACAATTGCCTTTAAGAAAGTGTGCTGCATATTCTCTTCTAATCCGCTTGTCGATCACTTGATATACGCAGATGACGTTTTGTTGTTTACTAAAAGAACAGATCTGAACAGAGTCAAAAACTAATTCCTAAAAACTTTACTTGATATTAATGTATGGTCTCAAAGTTCTGGCGCCAAAATTTCAGCAAGAAAATTCCCCATTCTAATACTTTAAAGATATGAGGCAAATATTAATAAGACTCTCACATACAAAGAACACTGTACATCCCTTTAGTTAAGCTTATTCTCTAGACTTAACATTATAGAATTTTTACCTTCCAAACATTGTTTGGGTCATATGAATTCACTTGTAAATGTAACAAAAGCCTTATTGCTATCAAAAAATAGATTATGGACTTTCGATATACGGATATGGAGCTAGGACCCATTATTAAGCTGCTCCATGCTCCATACCACATCGCAGCTAAAAGAAGTATTCGTACTTTCCCAACAAAAGTGGCGGATTACCTGATATTTCCTCTAGAACTACACGTAACACTATGATGCTAATTCCAAAGTTGTTTCACGTCAGAAATGAGTTATTGCTTGCAACAGTTAAGACCGCCACTGAAAAATAGCAATAGCAATTCCATTATTGATTGAAACAGCAATATGTATGCCCGACGTGTTCTTCGCTCAAAGAAAAACAAAGAAAACCCAAACACTCTACCAGCAACAGTGAATAGCATCAACTATACAATGCAGCCCCAGAGTCTTTCAAACATTATTGGGAGATAGTCTGAGCTATCGCTGAAACCGATTTTCGTAAAATGTACGAAAACGCGATCACTGAGTCCGAATTGCTGCGAACTTATGCACTCAAAGTGTATGCTTTGGTGTTCGTAGCTATTCGAACTCACTGATAGCATCTGCGAANGGAAAAATGACACAACGTCGAAACCGGTTTTTCTCCAAACCATGTTTGTCAATGGATGACGGAAAAACATTTCGCAATACTTAAAAAAAGAGAAATGTCCACTGCTGTAATCACTATCCCAGCGTCACAATAGCCTTTAAGAAAGTGTGCTGCATATTCTCTTCTAATCCGCTTGTCGATCACTTGATATACGCAGATGACGTTTTGTTGTTTACTAAAAGAACAGATCTGAACAGAGTCAAAAACTAATTCCTAAAAACTTTACTTGATATTAATGTATGGTCTCAAAGTTCTGGCGCCAAAATTTCAGCAAGAAAATTCCCCATTCTAATACTTTAAAGATATGAGGCAAATATTAATAAGACTCTCACATACAAAGAACACTGTACATCCCTTTAGTTAAGCTTATTCTCTAGACTTAACATTATAGAATTTTTACCTTCCAAACATTGTTTGGGTCATATGAATTCACTTGTAAATGTAACAAAAGCCTTATTGCTATCAAAAAATAGATTATGGACTTTCGATATACGGATATGGAGCTAGGACCCATTATTAAGCTGCTCCATGCTCCATACCACATCGCAGCTAAAAGAAGTATTCGTACTTTCCCAACAAAAGTGGCGGATTACCTGATATTTCCTCTAGAACTACACGTAACACTATGATGCTAATTCCAAAGTTGTTTCACGTCAGAAATGAGTTATTGCTTGCAACAGTTAAGACCGCCACTGAAAAATAGCAATAGCAATTCCATTATTGATTGAAACAGCAATATGTATGCCCGACGTGTTCTTCGCTCAAAGAAAAACAAAGAAAACCCAAACACTCTACCAGCAACAGTGAATAGCATCAACTATACAATGCAGCCCCAGAGTCTTTCAAACATTATTGGGAGATAGTCTGAGCTATCGCTGAAACCGATTTTCGTAAAATGTACGAAAACGCGATCACTGAATCCGAATTGCTGCGAACGTATGCACTCAAAGTGTATGCTTTGGTGTTCGTAGCTATTCGAACTCACTGATAGCATCTGCGAAGATTTCACGAAAACTTGGCAAAACACTTAGCCAAAGTGTAAGTGCCAAAATAAAATTATTATAATTCTTATAATTATTTTAAATCGGTCCAGTTGACGCAAATTTTAACATTTGTCCGAAATATTTTGGCGATAGGCTTTTAATATAATACATTTTTTAAATGCCAGTGGAATAAAGCGGCTTTTTTTGAATGAGGCACCCTAATGTATTCATTATGATATATATAAAAAGTCTAATAATTGAACGCGGTGCAGTTATTCTAATGAAAGGTTTTATATAAAAATCACTTTATCCTTAGCATTAAAAGGAAATATTAAAACAACACCTTAATTTGAGTATTTCTTACATAACAATCCTTTATCCTTTCGCTTCAGTGAAATGAATTCAAAGCGTTTTGAGTATACCACACCACAGTCCCTTCACTCAATTCAAGACCCAAGCCATTATTCAACAGAGCAAGAGGTGCCACTTGCACAATTTAAAAATACCGAAGAAAAATTACAACAGTTGAAGCAAGCGATGGATAATTTAGAAGATGGAGTTTGCGATGACGAGGACGCGCATTTGCTTGAAAATAATCAGCGCCTACAATTCCAGCAACATCAAGGCAAAGAACTTAAACAAAAGCTCAAAGATAATGTTCGACAAGAGCAACAAGAAAAATTAGAAGGGCTAGAGTTTGGGATGGCTGCTGCACATGACGTCTTATGTAAGTACTTTTTACAACATAAGCATTTAATATAGAAATTTTTCGATAGCCGGTAAATATTCATTTGGGAACATTCTATATTCTAGAATATAGATTACTACGCTGTAGAATAAACTGGCTTCACTTTCGTCAAACAGTCAGAGAATGCAAGGGGCCACGATTTATTTATTACGTAGCTCGAGAGTGACTTATGTACGTATGTATATAGCTAATTAGCCACGATCATGGGTCGATGAACCTGAGGAGAGCTACCGTATACCAGATTTTGTCTGTAAAGACTTACCTTTTTGAGCTTTAGGTAACGCATGGAAAGTCCGATTAATCGCAGGAAAATTGCATTAACCAATGCTTTAAAGTCTTCATTGAGAAAGGAGGAATACAATCAAATTCATAAAAGCAAAAGGTTAAAAATTATTGAAATCAGACTAAAATCACTCCCACTTTCATATAACGGTAAATTTCAGAAATGCTCGAACCTTCGATACTTCGAAATTAAAGGTCACTAATTTACTCAAAATTGATACTAACAATAATCCGAACTTATACTTTTTTACTTGTTTTCCTTCATATTCGATGCTTAATGGCCTACATAAATTAGATAGCCATGAACAAACATATGTATTAGGGTGATCCAAAATAACTAACCTAACGAATTTGTGGTCTTAAACGAATCTATTTCCAGAGAATAAAATTCTCCAAATTGGAAAAATTTGTATTCCAATTTTAAAAGGTGTCGGTGGCCATTAGAAATTTTCCCTGTAAATGACATGTAAAAAAATTGTTTTTATTAAAAATGTTATAACTATTGAATCATTTGAGATAAAAATTGTGTCTATGCATATTCTTATAAGGCATTAAATTTTTTAAAAAACGACCCTGAACTTGATTGTCTTGGAGACGATTAAGAGTACTAAATATGTATATTAATTATATTGCTGAACGAGGTATAGCATTGATACAAAATTATAATCAAACTTTGGCGAAATAACATCGGAAGGAATCTTCGAATTGCAATAAACTGAATTTTATTAATAATTAAAAAACAAACCTTGTTCAAAATCAACATTTTCTACACATTTTGCATCATTTTAATGTACCATTTTTTATTTAGCCTTAATATTTCCAATCATGTTTTCGAATTTCACAAGTATGTATATACATTGTCGAGTTTAGACAATCAATTTAAAATTATTTTTTAGAGAATTTAATGCCCTATACGAATATGCCTTGAAACAATTTCAATCTCAAACGGTTCAATAGTTATAATATTTGACACACATTTTTTTTTTAAGACAAATTTTTCTACGTGGAAAATTTCAATTGCCCACCGACAACCTTTAAAATAGGAATACAAAATTTTCCAATTGGGAGGATTTTCTTCTCAGTAAATAGGTCCTTTCAATGCCATAAATTCGTTAGGTTAGTTATTTTGGATCATCCTAATACGTATGTATGTACATTAGACCGTACCAGAAAAAAGTTCGCTGTACACCCCTGAATGTAAAGTACTTCAGAAAGGCAACTTCGAAAAAATTGTTTTTTTTTTGCCTGTACGTATTGTAATGGTCGTATTTTTAAATGTTTTGTCATGTCTTCGACATTTACAGTCGGATTCTATATTATGATACGTATATCGGTGTTCTCGCCCAAGGGAATTTTTTTTTTTTAAAGTTCATTGACCTCAAGTACCCGATTCTAGTACTTATCCACCAGACCCAGATTAAATTAGTAGGAATATAATTTAACGTACCACCCTAATATCGGTAATTAAATGTAGCTAAAAATCAATAAAACTTTGCAAAGGGATTATTCCAGTATAACTATTTAAAAAAAAAAAATTAGTTCAATTAGATGTCACCGGAAAAAATATGCCTTCTTTAGCTTCGGTAAAAAAAAAATGTTTTACGAAATTGCTTAGTAAAATTATTAGAGGTGCACTGCAAAATTTTTTTGTTTGCTTGTAAGCTGGTACGATCTAATGTACATACATTTGCATAATATGTACTTACAAAAGCAATGTCAACTAACTGAGGGCAGTTCAGTGTGAAACCGTGGCTAAAAAATCCATTCATGTTAAATAATGCGAAACTCATGAAAACTGGCATTCAACAAATTGTATGGAACATTCTAAAAAAAAAATCGAGAAGGAAAATATATTTGCAAAAAAATAGGGAAAACATGAATTTCAAGCGAACGGGAAGTGGGAAAATTGTGCAAAAAACTACTGGAGTTCGAAAATATTTTTCACATTTGCGAACTAAACCAAAGCATATTTGGCTTTCAGACGTTTCTTGGCTTTGCGTGGCTGTGTGCGCACCATAAAACTCAAGTGTAAATTGTGGCAGGAACGAATTGCCTTTGGAAGCAAATATAAGCTGCAGCCGTACAGATGCAAACTGCATGTTCACACTTGCACTCGTACATATGTATGTATGTATGTGCGGATGCATATATTTCTGAGCAAATACTCTTATGCCAACAAAATGGCATACAAACAGTTGCAACTAAATCCACAACTCCTTATTCTATTGCTTGCACTTCCGTACGATTGCTTTGGCGGTCGTCATGGCGTCGGCATAAAGATGCAATCACAGTCAATTCACGCGCACAAACATATTAACGTGCATACATATGTACATCTATATATTTGCACCACTACTAAAACAGGTGTTTTCACCGCTTTAACATTGTGTATGCCCGGATGAGAGTGGAATCCTTGCCAAACAAATCTGCATCGCTGACAACATGCCTTCCTCTTACTCAACTCGTTCGCTCGTTTAGTTGCATATGTACCGTTGCATTGGAATGTAGCTACGGCTTTCCACTTCACTTTCAGCATTGTAATCGTATATCCTTACATTGCTTGTCTGTTGGAAGTTAACACGCATTTGCTCTAGTCACTATACCGCCCATTCTCTCTCTTTATCTCTGTATACTTGAGAGGCAGCTGCTTAGGCTTCACACGCCAAAATAATTATTGTGCTATGTACAAGTAAGCACTGCTCGACACACATTATGTTCGTTGCATTAGATGCTGTCAGTTGTGGCAGTCAGTAAAGGGTTAAAACTTTTGCCTTTCTGCCACTCTTGCCATGACGGCAGCATACAAAGATGTTTATATGTAAACGGAATGCCGTAGGGCGAAAAGGGCTGGGTAGGTTATGTGTGGGTTGCAAATTCTTAGCAGACCATACTACTTATGTATGTATGCGCATTAGGGTGGTCCCAAAAAAGGTTAAAATGTTAAGCTCTCCCCCCAAGGAGTATTTTAAATAGCAAAAAATACCCGTATTTTTTTCGGTAAAAAATATAGATGTTTAGTCCATGAAGGTTTTCATGCGTTCTATATGGGGAAAAATACGTTTTCGTACAATGGTATAGTATTTTTGAAAACTAATATTTTTCCACAGAGCCTTCCACTGTTTCTCTTCAGAAGACTTCCCTTCATAATACCCAGTTATTTATTTTACCATTTTTAAATACACATACTTTTTTATGGGTCCTCAATTTAATTTTTTCACTGTTTCCTCAATGCATTTTTAACTGTACAAGCGGCGATGAAAAATAGATTCATTATGACAATCGAAAGTATCAGAAAGAGTATGTTAAGCACGGCGAACCCGCACCATCGACGCCAAACCCAAATATCTAGGGACGCAAGATAATGCTCAGTAGTTGGTGTAGGATCATGAGTTTCTGAAATATGGTTGCACGATCGATGGCACCTTCTACAGCCAAACTTTGATGCGATTGAAGCGAGTGATTGCGGAAAAATGGTCGTGCAACCAGACAGTGCTCGGCCGCATATCAAACAAGTCGTCAAAAACTATCTCGACAGTACCGTATGGGAAGTCCTAACCCACCCGCCTTTTAGCCTAGACCTTGTATCGCCAGCATACAGTTCGTTCCGGTCGATGTAGAACCCCTTAAGGGAGTACGCTTGACTTCAGTTGAAGGCATGACAAATTGGCTTGATACCTTCTTGGTCTCCAAAGACGAGCAGTTTTATTGGCGTGGAATTCGTGCATTGCCAAAAAATTGGGAAAAATTCATAGCAAGCGATGGAGAATACTTCCAATAAAATATATTTTACCAATTTTTCTCAAAAAAATTTTAAAGTCAAGAAAAGCTAGAACACGACTTATTCTATTGTTTCCGTGAGTTGCTGATTACGGATCTGAAATCATTAGAAATAGTGGACCCAATACGGTGCCCAAAAAATCAAAATCAATTTGATTCGCTAAGTACTTTACAATGGGGAGACTCTTAAGCTCACTGATTATGAAACTGAAACCAGATTTTTAAAATGCATGGATATTTGATCTACAATTTATCACAGAAAAGTTAAAATCGAACTTGGCGTATGGGTATGGTGACCATCCGTTCTGTTTTTTGCAGGACCGTACTGTTATTTAAAGGTCTGTCCTGCGTAGTTTTTCAAAACAGAAAACCCCCAAAATGTACTGTATTTTTCCAAGTGTCCTGCCTTTGTCCCGCATTTTCTTCGATATTTTAAAATTAACTTTTCCTAATCGAAATAAAAGCAGTGTCGATAACTAATTGATAACTATGTACATAAGGGTAAGCTGGTTTTGAAGGTTCAACTAGTCAATGCGTTATAAATACTGTACGGTTATGGACAATAGATGACGAGAAATTGAAGACCAGCATCAAATATATCGATAACACTGTTCTACAAATTTTGTGGTAATCGCTTAACAAAAAAAAATATTTTCCAAGCCAATTTTCTTTTCAAACAAGCGTTTTCGTAATTTTTTCGAAAAACGTGTTTTTGGTACATTTCGGACCTATTCGTCAATATCTCATGAAAAAATTATCCGATCAACATAAGCGACCTACAGTCCCCTTACAAAAATATATTACTTTGCCAATTTCGAAGAGTGTTACAAGCGACCAAAATCGAAAAATTTAAATTACAATCATTTTCTTTTTACAGTAAATGAAAATCTGATGAGAAATTTAGATGTTACGGAACACAA